GTTTCCATCCAAACCCAGCCTGTGCAGCGCAAGAATGCACAGTGCAAGCAATATTCAACGACCCCAAAGTCCCAAGTAGGAGTATATAGAACTAAGTAGGGTGCCATTCTGGGCGCTTTACATTCTTTTCACGCAATCAGCTGGTCCACATCACATAGACAGACATCTGATTTAAACCTTGAGTCCTCTTGACCAGCTCTGACTGGACATTGAGCTCGCAGCTACCCAGCCTTTGCAGATCTCTCTCTGAAATACCACGATGCTCAGCACCCGATTGCTGCAGCCACGCTTGGGACTGCTTTGACAATCTTGAGGCCGTCGAAGTCACCAGCGTGCAGCTTGGCACCTTCCAACAATCAAGGGACCCATAGAGCTGGAGAAACATAGACAAACCGACAAAGGAATCAATGCCCGGTGAATAACCGAAAAAGTGGTGGATCCTGGACGCAACAAACCGGAAACAGCTGCTCCAATAGGATGAAAACAAAGGTGCAGAGTGGCTCGCTCTATGGCCAACTGGATCCTTATGATCCATCCATTCAGTCCGTTCGCTTGAAAAAGCCCTGAACTGCCCCGAACGGCTGCGGGCCCCGAGGGCCTTGTAGACCTCTTGCGCCACCTGGACGAAGCTTTCCGTGTCCTCAACGATGTCGATGTCGTCGATGCCATCGATGCACCGCACGGCCCGGCGGCCGTCCAGGCTCAGCAGGTCGACGCCTGCGGCAAGCGAACGAAGCAGCTGCCAGGTCTGTAAGGTGTATAGGCTAGGTTTACTACCAACCCTGGCAGAAAAAGACTCATGCATAGAAGAAGGTTTGAGCTATATCTTTCAGACTACGAGAATTCGACGAAGTGCCGAGGCAGTGCCTGTCGGATTTGAACAAAGCAGTTGAATAGGGGTTGAAATTTGGTTGCGGGGTACTCTGGTCTATGTTTGTTCGAAAATGGTCAGAGTCAGGCTTATTGATTTATTGAAGGTAAATGCTGTTCAATCATAGCCTGGGCAGAATGTTTGCCTTCGACTTCGGCATCCCTGCCTGGATGCCTAAGAGTGACGTTGTGCCGCTCCCAGAACGACGGTGGAAGCTCCTTGCCAGGCGCCAAACGAGAAGAAGCTTCCTCAACCAAACTCCTTAGCCTTAGACTTCTGGACACAAACTAACCCCAACAATCCTGCAGTCAATCATGCAATGATACTTCATCTTTAACCATCTTCAAGGATCCTTTGATATCCTTTGATCTTCCAAGGCCAACCCCGTGTCACCGGTGCTCCCACGCTCCTGCAAAGGCACCGCATCCAGCTCGATGGCCGCAGCCCACACCAGCCGTTGCCGCGGAGTGAGCCAAGCCCAGCTGAGCGCCTCCCGCGCCAGGCAGCGCAAACGCTCCATGAAGGCGACGTCGCGGTCTTCCGGGCCTCCAGACAAAGCCATTGAGGGGAATCCAGGAGCGAGTCGTCCAACGCCAACTGTGGTGCCAACATTGGCATTGCGACGACTTGGTGATCAAAAAAATGCAGTATACATACAGTGAGCCCATGGCTTGTGGGTTGCCGTGTTGGTTTTGGGGGAAGCTGCTAAGTGGGTTGTCCATATTGCTTTAGGTGGGAGACTAAGGAGGGAGGTGGTGCGCTGCTAAAGTGCCGAGGGAATCAGATCAAGTTGGTCCTGAATCAACTTGCACAACTTACTTAGCCCATCTTAGCCCCACCGATGCCCACGGAAGGACCAGCACAATGCTTATCACAAAGGATCTCATGCCGCCTACTGCTTGCAAGAGTCTCACTGCAACAGTCTTTGCCGTCGCAGCATGTGGCACCAGCGAACCGCCCGTCCTCTGGCAGCTCAAGTGGGAACCCAGCTGAAGCATCCCGGCTGTTCAGATGGAACTTATGTGTTGAAATGAGCCTAGTCAGTTGGAAACAATTGCTTCATTTGCACCTAATCTTTCTTTACGTTGCTTTGAATTTCCGAAGCTTCAGTCCTTATTCGCAGCCTCAGGGAGCGCTCCAGGACCAAGACCCATCCAATCCATCTTCCACCCCGCGAAGCCGATCTCCATCCTCTCAGCCATCAGCCGCATCGCGCCAAAGACGCCGACCAGGCCGAGGAGAAGGTGGCCGCCACGGCGTCCCCGCCTTCGCTGTGCCATCAGGGCCCATCAACGAGGTGCTTCTCAACCGCCCCAAGGAGTCCTTGGA